ATGTATCAGCATGTAAGGAGACAGAAGTTGAACAAACAATCGGAAAAAATGTATGTTTAAAAAGTTGGGAGAATGCGAAGATGAAGTGACAAAAAAAAGCTCGTAAAAAGCGACACTATACTGGTGTCGAGATTGGTAAGCTTGCAAACTGTGAATGTATTCTCAGGCACTTTCAAGCCTTGCCATTTCAAAGAGGAGTAGGAAATGGTAGCAGAGCTTGAATCCGAAGAGTTTTACGACGAAGCTTTTTACTCAAGGTAGCAGTGAGATCGTTTAATACGCAATCGAGGCTTCTTTTGTTTAAGAAAACTGTGTGCTTTTTTTTTGTTTCATTTATTTATTTATTTGTTATACCTTTTTGTTTAACGTAACCAAGTGAATTTTTTTTTTATACGATTTCTTTTGATCTCAAAAAAAAAAATATCGCCACGAGTCATGAACGGTTACTAAGATTTAAAATTTAAAAATAAACGGATAGGAAAAATAAAATTATTCTTTGACAAACAGTGCTATTATTAATGGTGGAAGAGTAAAAACAAAATGTAGGAGAAGGATAATGATGAAGAAGTAAATAAGTACAAAAAAAGGTTTCCAAGAAGTGCCCAAAAAGAGGCAAAAACAAACGAGAGAAAGAATAATGTCTTGCGAACGAAAAAGCTTACCAGAGCGATTATGCCATCTGGACCTTTTTTTTTTTTTCTAACAGTGATAAGGAAAAAAGTGGTGGAAGCGGTAAAAAATAAAATATGTCCGTGTATGCCAAATGGATGTGGGAGTAGTGGGATAATTGCAGAATCACCTTAACCATCGACGTTAGGGCTGAAATTCTTTGTCTCTGTTCCTTTTTTTTTTCTTGCATTGCTGCTCCGTGGGTGTTTAAAGATCGATCGGCTGACTTGGCGTTAATTACCTCTTTTTCTTTCTTCTGCACCTGACGATGCCATGTTTTTTGCTGACAACTTTGCGGTTACTTTTTTCCCCTATATGTGTATTCATGTGCGATTACTAAACTTATTTTCTCCAGCAATGTGTTGTCCAGTAGTAGTTTTTAAAAATTCTTCAGTGTAAGCACTGCATGAAATTAATAATAAAAAATTATACTTCATGCCAAAAATGATAAAACATTGATGCCCAAGTCTGCGTATTTTAGTTTTTATTAAACATTTTCCGATTACCTCGTATATTTACTGCAATCAATAAATTGTCTTCTGCAGTAAAACACCAATTTAGCGAAGCTACTTTCTCTGAAAGGGTATGTATCTCTCTTGAAAGGGAGCCACTCTCAAAAGAAATGAAAGATAAATTTATTTACAAACGTTCCAAGTAAGATTAATATTAAAAAANATAGAATACCAAAGCGGCAGGTTTTTTTATTTTACATCCCCAAGGTGTCAAGACAAGATACCTTGTACGGATTGACTGCATTAATTTTTGGAAAATCCGATTTCCTGTTCTACAAGGAGAGAAAACGACATTCGTAATACATTCGCACGAACTTACCTCTGTATATAAACTCCGGGGTAAATTCTGTATTTTGCAGCAATATACCATTGATTTAAACATCGATTCAAGGATGGATAGTCGTATAAATAAGACCAGAGTTCAAACGTCGCAGTAGCTTGTTTTATTGTTCCATAATATTTCAAATCTTTATTATTATCATTGTTATCGTTATATAATTATAATTGATACATTTATTAAGCATACGACGATATTACATCACACTCGAGGTGCTAAGTCATCTAAAATGTATGCACGAGGAGCGATTTGGTACAGTATGAATAAATAATAATGATAGTACTCTCTAAATAAACTTGTACGAGACGCGATGAGACAATATTTTTATGCTCGCATCGACTGATCTTACACCGGATATCTTTAAAATTAATAAATCTATCTACGTGTATTTATCAATGCTCTTAACGATTAACGGACGATTAACAATAACCGCTACAACAGAGTCCGGAAATATATATATATATATATATATCTATATTTATACATTCATTTATATGTATGTATTTGTTGGTCATTCTATGACAAACGGAATATTTCAAAGGCCCAAATGGACAAAGACTAAAAAGGGATTTTTTAATTTTTAAAAAAAATTTTGGTATTGTTTGTGACCAAAACACGTTTTGATTTTTTGGGCCCCGCATTACTGCAACGGGTAGCGTTACGAGCTCTTATAAACCGTCGAAAAATTGGGATTGCAACGTACTACCAAATAAATATTAAAGTTTGCCCTTGTACAAAACAGCTATATTTTAACCCAACACCTTCCGAGTCGATAACCAAACGCTTCACGAAGTCACACTGGATTATTTAGCGTTTTGGGTTCATAGTTTTTGTCTTGGGGAGACTGACCTTCCGAATAACTTTTTTTATTTCATTGGAAGAAAACCACGTTGTTTTGTTTTTTAAACAAAGTTTCGAGAACCATATCATTATAAATGACGTTTAAATAGACTGGGCCATGGAAAATTCCGCCATTCGTAGAATAACCCGTGGATATCCTGATGGTAAGTTGAACAAAAATTTAAAAGCGTCGCATCAGAGGATACAACAAATTATTTATGTTATCCATGTTGCTAAGACATGAAGGCTACAACTCTTACATTTCAGTTGAATGTAATTCTATTATATACATACGCATGCATTTACTATTGGTAATTTTACTTGAGTAGAATTACAGGTATGGTTATTATGCAGTTACTTTTCCAGGTGTCATTTCGAGTATAAATTGTACAAAAATTTTTTATTATTGATAATATAATAAACTGATTGTAGGACTAAAAAAATTTACAGCGTTTTATAGAAAATTTCTAGCTTATCGTGAATTTTAGGTGCCAGAGAATGTGGAACGTAACTAAAATAAACAATAATTTAGAGATGCATCTAGATATTGTGGCATCCACGGAGATTGTGGTAAAACTGAATTTATCTCTAATATTATCGCCGTAACAATGTATTCTTATAGGCATGGCGTTACACACCTACAAATAACCATCTCATCGAGCAAATTCTCCTTGGGTTACATTACATCTACTTATTTCGCGTTTTTGCACCACGAAACGCTTAACAATCCTAAAACGATTGATTCCGCCTCTCCATCCTCGTACTGTTGCGAATAAAATTTTCTCAACCCAACGATATTACACAACTTTTATTGTCACGATTGTTTCATGCGTTGAATTGCCCAAAAAAATAAAAACTCAGCAGTATTTTTACTTCATTCGTTTCAAGTCAATAAAATAATTGTAATTCAAATGAAGATTCGCAAAATTAATTAATTACAACTAGCTCGGCGTCTCCCTTCATTGTACAACGCGTCACCCATGGGGTCGCCATCACGAGCGTCCGGTGTAAGGTCAGTCTTGGGTTCAAAGACTCTCCTCTCTCTCTCGGACGCGATTTATCTCTCTTGTGCTTGATGATACGTGGCATTATGTGGCCCGTGGGCCATGACTATGCGTGTATCCGGTCGTTGACAAGAAAAATCGGCGCGAAAAGCCGAGTCCAGGACACATACAAGTGGTGTAGCTGCAAGTGAGCCAAGGAGTCTTTCATCGATCAACGACGAGGAGACAAAAACAAGCGGGTGGAGGACGGCAAGGAACGGGGGAATGCTGTCACTCGCAATGGCCCAGTCCGTCTTTTGGACCGTACACTTACAAATTGTCCCCGTTTTTTCTTGGATCTTTCCTTCTAACTTTGCACGCTTTTTTAATTCAGTTTAATTATATTACAGTTACGTCATATGAATTTGGCTATTTGGTTAACCGATGGGAGATTATACGTCAAGCTACGTGAGTTTGTCAACGACGAAACTATGTATACATATACATGGTTGAGTTACTTACGTCACATTTAACGTAATAATTTTCACACAAGTTATTGTGATCCATTTTTCTCTTCAACTTTGGTAGATTTTTCAATTTTTAAACAATAATAGATTATTATTTCGTAAATACAAATGGTTTATTGTCGTGAAAATTTTTAAAATGTGCATGACCACTTTTTTTTGTAAGTCTTTTTTGTACAACTGATTAAGCAGATGAAACACTTAGAAATAGTTTATCGTAGATACATATATTCTGACGGATTATTCATGGTAAAAATATCAAACGTGTATAAAAACTATCCACATTAAGAAACAAAAAACAAAAAATGTAATTTTATAAAGACTTTTCTCACTAAAGTTCGTCCATTATGATATAGTTTTTCATGCATTGTAATTTATAAAACACCACACAATTATATGGAAATACGTACCGTTAGTTAGCGATAGAAAGATAAATTTATAGTTTCGAGTACTAATAATCTCTCAGTTTCAATCTCACCTTTGTTGAAAAAATTTTACACAAATTCCAACTAAAATTTTACATCGATAAAAAAATATTAAAAACTCGAGTAGCTTAACAACAAGGTAAAAGCAAGGCTTTTTTTTGCTTTACTTGGCGTTGGCAGTACGATCGATAGATAAAAGCTGTGTCGAGTGCAGTCGGCTCTGAGATTTATCGTCAGTTTTCCTTGAGTTTAAGTAAATATCGCTTGAATTTCCTCGAAATCGCAACCAAGTAAACAGACGCAAAATATAACATTACAATATCATTTTTCCTAACTAATGATTGTACGAATATCCAAGTTTTTATAAAAATTCGTGTCAATGTACAAAATACCGATTGATTTTGAGCCACTCGTGAAAATTGAAAAATAAAGGGGCTTAATGTGTTGTCAAAACAAGGGAAAAACGAGAATTCCTTTCATTAAAAAATCGCGAGAGTCGGTGCGTGCGCTCGATAAATCCCAGCTGGCTCATTTTTTGCTCCCCATCCATTTTTTTTTTTTTTCTCGCACGAATGACTTTCCAATGCGATCGCGTTTCATCTGTCGTCACTCTAGGACGCTTTGTCGCGTAAGTAGACGCTCGGGAAATTTCTTGCTCTTCCCCCTTTTTTCTTAGCGCGCGTGCTCGACTTTCTTTCTTCTTTGATGCAGTAGTACCTTTTTTTTTTTTTTTTTTTTTTTTTTTTCCAAGCTCGAGAAACGGATTCTGTTGCGAATTACAGCCGCATCCGTTTCTCATTTCTTCTTTGCGTGACAAACGTGTACTTGTAAAAGCATCGAACGCGTATTACAAAGGAGTGGGAGCCCCCCTTTTGCGAATAAAAAAGTCTTTTAGCTCGCCAGTATAAAAAAGTGTATCTTTCGTTGTTCGTGAAAAGCATACCTGTTTAGTTTATGAAAGCTTATTTGTTTTTATTTTATTTATTTATTTTTTGTTGTTGTTGTGGAATTGACACATGAAAGCCGCGCCGAAAAAGTGACTAAAACTTCATTCGTACCGCGAGCTCTTACATTCTACAACTAGGACGTTTTGCACAACAAAAAATCATTCAATGCAATCCTCGAACACGTCCGACATAATAAAAAAAAAAAAAAAAAACTTTTAGGCAAATCAATTTGATCAAGAATTCATCCGAATCCCAAAGAGAAAAACAATAACAACAACAACAATAACAACAACAAGTACAACAACAACAACAACAACAACAACAACAATAACAATAAAGACTAACGACAAGGGCGCACACACGCTTGCGCTCTTGGAAAAAAAAGCATCCGCACCACGTATCACCTGGACCCGTGCATCCGTTACTCTGTCTCGGTAATAAACGGAATCAGTGAAAAACCTGTACTACTTGAAAATCATGAAAAGTTATTTAAATAATACACTAAACTTTTCAATACTAGGCATTACCAATGTATTAAAACTGCGAAGCACAGGGATCTGACTGATTCGGTTTGAAAGAGTATAACGTAGTAAGACTCGTTACAACCCAAGTATGCGACTCCCCGACAGGTGAGCAGATGCCTCGGCCCATCCAAAAACTGAAAAAAGCGAGTCGTTTTTCAAATGATCACAAGTAAATCGTGACAATAGTTTCCGCTTAGTCGACAAAAAACAGGGTCCTCGGGAGGGTCGTGACGAGACAGGCAAGCGCTACGAGGGACAGCCAGGCCTTGCCGGTGGCGGAGGCGGTCGAGCCATTGGCGCAGCTCTCCCTGATGCTCAGCAACTGAAGGCCTCGGCGGGACAGCAGGTTGTGGACGCTCCGGAGATCGGTTTTTGGCAGCTTGTGCTCCCGGCCCAGGAGAAGAGTGAACTTTTGGCCGTCGATGTCGCGCGCGCAGAAGGTCAGCACCGCGTGCGCGGCCACTGCCTTCATCACGTGCACTGTACCGACGAACTGACGGTACGCCGGCTTCTCGGATATCGTGCCTGTGGACAGAATTGTTTTCATTTCTGGTGAATTCATTTTGGGGACTTGTTGGAGTGCCAAGTTTTTTTTTTTTTTTTTTTTTTTCTTTTTTTTGACGTGAAATTACTATTTTTTGCGAAACTATTTCAATTGGTATTCAAGTTATATCTGCATGTGTAGTAATTTATTGGTTCTAATACGCATCAGGAAGGAATTTAATGATTAAAATTCTTTTCTGTGGATATATTATTTCAATTTATACAAATGAGCATCACATTTCAATAAAATCACCAATAATTGCATTTAATGTTATTGAGGAAACACTATGAAAAAATTCAAAGTTATTACTCGTTCTTTTAAAATAAAATTGCTTGCATCTTTTGATGAAAATAAAAAAAAAAATTAAAAAAAAAATTGATTTACACAAAAAATTCGAATAAAATTACCCTTCTTCACGACCGCACAGGCAAACTGATTGTACCAAAGTTTTGTTCAATTTTTTTTTCCTTTTCTTTTTATTTACATAACCATCTGTAACCTAGTAGAAATTGATCATTTTAGGTTGAGATGGCTCTTCAAAATTTTGGAGTTGAATTACATACGTGCACGTCCATCGATTTCCCGTTCTCCAAAACTTCGGAAAAAAAAAGTGCGCGAAATTTATCCAACTTCACTCGTGCAGTATTCATTCGAGAACTCTGATCTCCTCCGATAAACTTATTAATCTCCAAACCCCCGCCCGAAACTGCAAAACCCCACGTACACATCAGAGCCGGTAACTCCGTAAAAATAAACACACCACGTTACAGACTCCGAACAATTTTAACTCAGCCCCGTTCATACTCTATACATCGAGAGCACACCTTCGTATCAAAGAGAGAGAGAGAGAGAGAGAGAGTTAAGGGGTCTACATAAATTTCACACCCTCGACTTTGGGCTTTCGTATAGTTGCGCAGCATCAGGCCGTGCTTTCTTCGGACCATCCAATAACTCCCCGCGAAACTTGTCCAATTAGTTATCCGTTTTGCAGTGGTACGTGGCACGCGGTTATTAATTAACCGACTACGTTGCAGCAGATACGCTCAAAACACTGCCGTCCGTACTAACTCGAGTGGCGTGCACGTGTGCATAACACGCGAGTGTGCATGTGAATCGAAACTGTGCCAAGGAAGCGAAGGAGGTATGGCTGATTGAGTTTGCGGTGTGGTGAAGCGTCTCGTTAAGGAGAAAGCACGAGCATGTCTGGTGATGACAGCTCGTTGTTGTTGCGATACTGGGCGTTTGACTCGATCCGTGCGACTTGCAAATTCACTCGAGGCGAAGCTCGCGTGACCTTTCGCGTCTGATTTTTCAATTGGTTTTGCCTGACACTGCGTGGACCATAGACTCGAGTATGGTCGGGCGTGCACTGTTTCACCGTGCATTTTTGTGCTTGATGATGAAAATTGTTACCGTAGAAGTGGTACGGTGGAAAAAGGGTTTATTTGTCCAAACATCTAATCAGATGCGATAAATCAGCGGTAGCTTGGTTAGTTGACCCGCAAACGGAGAGCAACCAGGGTTCGGCCAGACTCTACGGAAACTGCGTGAATTCTCAGTAGATACAGTTGACCTAGTCATCATTATACTTTCGAGCGAATTAAAACAAAGGGCAGGGAAAAGGTTGTATCTCTTCTCTAATGGCACGCTGCGTTTTGCAAAACCAGAAAATCATATTATTTTTTCGACATTTGTAAAAAAAAAAAATGTTGTAGATACGTTGAAAGCCATCGTTTCCAAGATTTCAAAACGATGCGTGAAAGAAAAACTCTAATAAGCTACAAAAACGTTTAAAAAAACGTCGAAAGCGTTCGCTACTTTGGTAAAACAATTACTTCTGGACTCCTTACACGAAAATATTCAAATGAAAAATTGTGAAATTTTTGAAAAACTCTATGCGTCTATCTGTATTAATTTTAAATCTCAACTCAGCAAAAAAATCTCTCGCATCTACCTCATGGTTGCGGTCTCATTCAATCACTCGCAATGAACTGCACGCTAATCAACAAAGCCATTGATTTTCATCAACTAGAAATTTAAATCTCAACAACCAACTTTCAAAATATTTGTTTCGTTAGAGATTTCCTCCAAAGCTCCATTCTCCCTAACGCAAATCCACCCGACGTGCGTCTCTTTTGATGCAAAAGTTCCCGCTTCTCTGCTCTTTCAACTGCGCTAACAACCTCGCCCCCCCCCCCCGAGCATGCGACCGATCCATCCCTTCCAAGCAAGCTTGAAACTTTTTCGCCGTACAACGCACGCTCGGCCGAAAATCCGAGACAACGCGCACACGAGAGCAAACGAGTTAGCGCCAGCACCGGTTCATTGTTGCCGACAAAAGACTTTTAGTCGCGCGCAACTACTGCCTTCCGCGTGTAATTACGAGAAGCTTTCGCCGTATATGGTTGTTCTCGAAAAAAAAAAAATCCAGCAGCGAGCGTTTCCATCCCTCCGGGGGTGGGTTGTACCCGACGGCTCGTCGATTGGGGTGCTCGCAGCGGGAGTCAGCGCGAAACAGGCGAGTACATGGATGCAGATGCGCTTATAGATGAACCAATTACTCGCCAAGATCGGACGGGTGGAATTAATTGGGGGATCACGGGGATGTGTGTACATGGGAAACGGGGGTCTAATGATTCGACGCTCGCCAAGCTGTGCGGGGCTGAGTTTTCAATTTGACGCGTGCTCGGGTGCTTCGGAGAAGGCCGGAATAATGACGTCTCGGACGCGCAAACGTGGGCTGTGTGTGGAAATTTCAATTTGCCGCGCTGCAGGTGCCCATATGGGTAATCGTGTTTGCGTTTTAAAATTGTTTTTCTAAGCTGAGCGATCGCCTGGTTTGAGAAATCAGGGGGAGGTTTCTTTTTTTTTTTTTTTGCTTATTTGGGGATGAAGCAGAGGGTTGAATTTAAACGTGGAATTGGCTGGCCTACTATAAGAATTTTAATCTTATTTGAATGGTCCGGAGCTGTAAATGGTATGTTTGATAGTCTATACGTAACTGACACGTTTGTTGACAAACGGGATCAATAGAACTACGAATTTTTCTGTTACGTTTATTAATACATTACTCAACTTTCGCTCAAAGAAAAAATCATACATCTCAGTAACGACCCTCGATATTTTCTGAAATAAAAATAACATGGGATTTTAAACCCTTTTGATGAAAATTCCCTCGTCATTTCCATAACAGATGTTGGTGGAAAAATTTGTGTTCATAATTTTTTTTACCTACCATTAATTTGCCTATTAGGCGTAGTACAGGTTCCATGCCTTTATTATCAGAGAACCACTCAAAACCATTTGCGACCTCCAATTTATGAATCAAAGCGCCCCAAGAAACTAGCAGTTTTAAAAAAATCACCCGATAACAATCTCAAATACGATATAGCACGAGATTCCATAACGAAACTTCAATATCTCGTAGCTTTGGTGATGGCGCGAAATCCGCAAGCTGTCATTCGTGAGCTCCAAGAGCCGTTACGTGAGAAAAGGTGCTCTCGTGTGTACGTACTTACACGTACACGGGGAACATCCCGACGGGCACGTGTGCGATTTAAATCCCCGAGAGCCGTGGCCGCGTGGCGTATGCGAAGCCCATCTGGCTGTCTGTTGCGGGCGTGTCGATATTAAAAATATGGATGAATAAAAGGAACGCGCAGTAGTGGCAGAAAGGCGAGGGGGTACATCGAAATGGTGTTAGTTGGAGTGAAAAGAGAAAAAAAAAAAAAAATCAACGGAAGGATGGAGCATATTGGTGTAAAATAAGGGAGGGAGAAGAGAGGAGTTTTTGCCCGAAGGACGAGAGACAAAGTGAAAAAGTATCGAACGAAAAGGGTGATTCTCGGCGACGGAGCGAACGAGGAATGGAGGTGGAATTGTGACTGTTGGATTTGGTTGGGTACAGTAGGGTATGATTTGCGCTGGTTTGTTGCTAAAGAAAAAAATTTGCATTTAAAAACCATTTGGTTGGTTTTATTATTTTCATCTTTGTGTAAAATTTTTTGTATGAATTGTCGTTAATATTGACTGCTTGCATTTTTGAAAACGATATCGATACTGTCGGACCACATATTGGTATTGACAAGTGGAATTCTCTGATACGATTTTTTGTTGTCTGACGAGACACTGTTTTTGACTAATTCAGATTTTAACGGCAATTTTCTAGTGGCTGACTGGATACTGATATTGACTACTTGAGTTGTCTCCAACGATTGTGTGCCACCTGACGAGACATCAATATGAACTTCCTAAATTTGATTTCGTATTTTCTGAGACCAACAATGACTAGTTGAAAGAGTACTCTGCACCGTCTGACCAGACGCTGATATTGACTACTTGAATTGTCCGCGACAATTTTAAAAATTTTCTTACAATGACGATTGAAGGTTGCGTAAATTTGATTGTTCAAACAAAAAATACGAAACATACAAGTAATTGGTTCCCTTTAAAAAAATTTTCAGGCTAAATTATGTTTAGGTTACCACAAATGATTTTTCTTTTCAATATTCAAGGTGTTAAAGAAAGTCTCATCTTTACGGCCGATTCATAATACTGTAGCAACCAAGTTGTGCTGAATTTTCAAACCTTATTTATCATTCACGTGTCAATGCTGGTGCTAGTGTCTCATTACTCCACAATCTACTATACTTTTGATCAATTAATTGGGATTTATATTCATCTTTATAATTATCAAAAAATTTTATACAAAAAAAAAAAAAAAAAACTTGATCCAAAGAGACAGTTGTAACGAGGGCATCGTTCATACCGTACATTGATTAACTTGACGCTTTGCGTGGAAAAAGTTTGTCCTCTTCTATACCTTAACCACATAACGATCACATACATGATGTACAGAAGAACTAGCAAGTTACTATCAATGGACTCAACCTTGAGTTTTTACAGAATCGTTTTTATCACCACAACACAAGAGTACCATTTTTTAAAATGAAGATGCATTATTTGGAGGGTCTTTCAAGCACTACAACCAGATAATGGAGTCTGCGTAAACCAGTATCAGAATCCCCATAGATCAACCCATACTTTATATCAAGCTCTAAAACTTTCCTCCCGTATATACCTGATTGACTTTTCCAACCTTTCAAAAAGTAATCTCGCACAGGAGCGCCTCGCGTCTCAACAGACCCCGAAATAAGGTCCAATTCATACACCCGTCAACGTATAGTTTGACCGAGTGATCATCAATCGATACTCCATGCGTCAGCCAATTTAACCTTGTCACCGGCGTTGAAGCATACACGGACGCACGAGGAAACTGGTAAGCTCGGCTCCTTGATTGCCCATCAAGAACCACGTGTCTTCGACTATACGTACACAGGCCAAAGTTTCTCGGCTCACGTATAGGCGAGTAATATCGAGAGCACGCGTGTACCTTAAATGTGAAATTTCGCTTTGGCAGTGATCGATAGTTCACCCGAGTAATTCAGATATTCGGTGGAAATTTTCGGAGCTTCGTCTCCTTTTCGCTGGAATTGGAGGCTTGAGTTATCCCTTGCCCCGTGGCGTGGGATTATGCTGATGAGCCAGTCTTGCGAACGGCCCTCTGTGCACAAAAGCTTGTGTCGCTTTAATGCTCCCTCCCGTTACTTAGCTTCGCGATAAGGCGGTGAGATTCGACTGGTTGATGGAACTCGTGCATTATCGAGCTTCGATGCAGTACGGGCTAATTTGCACGCGCTTTGCTCACCCCAGAGTGAATCAATTAGAGGTTAAGAGGGTAATTTTTGAGTGGGTGAAAAAAAAAAAAAAAAAAAAAAAACAATTCAGGAGATGATTGATACAGAGCGGCGCGTTTTATTTTATTTTTGACGCGTCTGTGATCGATGGGCTTATTTCGGATACATGAAAGTGAATATTGGAGTTTGGTGGAAGCAAGTGTGACGGATTGCGGCTTTTTCTCAGTTTTTCGAGATTGTCTGTACATTCGATGAAATCAATCTGAAGTCAACGAATTTAAATCTGTGAAATTTCATGAATTTTTTGTTAATCCTGAGTTCATTCACACCTTTGATACGTATGTGCATAGCTCGTGACTTTTTAAGGTACAATGATGCCGTGAGTTAAATATAAGAAAAAAAATAATAATAGTTCCCAATTCCAAAAAACGTGTATTGTGCTCCCGGAGTTTCGAGTATCAAATATCTCCTTTTCTAATTAAAACAGATCCCTTCCCTTACGCGAAACCCAACACGTTAATTTCCATAACAATCGCGTCTCTTACATTGCGCACCACGGAAGAAAAGCGCCAAAGGAGCGGAGGATCTTGATACTCGACAGACTTTATCCGAGAACCCCCGCTGATCCTCTTTTCCCTTCTCCTGTTTCGATCGTTGATTCCATTCGCTTCGTCGGAATTTTCGAGCCACACCTGCCCTATTATCATAATCGGCCTTTATGATCTGACGGGAAGTTTTCCAAAGCTCAAGGAAAGCAAATGCTTCTTTTGCCCATTCCTTGAGGAGAGATATTTGTTTGGGCTCTTTTCTTAGCCTCAGTTGAAATTTGGGAATCGCAGGCTGGTTTTGAAATGATGATATCCAATCAAGTTAATTTTACTCGCTCGTCAAGAGAAACTTGTAATAGACCAAAAATTTCAACCTTTCGACAAAGTGCTGGGAAAACAAAGTCCGTTATTTTATTTTTTTCATTCTTTAAAAGCGAAATCGATTTACCGATAAATAATGTTTCATTACGAAATTCTCATGTGTAAAACTAAATGATGTCCTTTGATGTTAATAAAGCATAAATCTTCTTTTCGGCATCCAAATTGAAGAAGTTATAAAACGAATGCAACGGATGCGACTTGTTATCAGAAGAAAAACTCAAAATGAATACATTTGCATCGGGAGTTTTTTTTTAACATTTAAACATTTGCTGCACTCTCGGTTTGAAAAATAACATTCACTACTGATGCGTTTTCAACCATGCAACTTACGTATTACTTTGTATACCATCACATACGTTCAACCGGCAATATTGTTCAAAATCAGTAGAAATACTCTCGTTACGTCAGACATGAACGGACCGTATTTTGCACGCAATAAGTAGTGAAGTCCGTGTTCGATCAGACATATGTAGTAATGATACTTTTCAAACGACTTGTAGTCGATAATATATTGTATTGTGTGAAAGACTTAAGCATTTTTTAAGTAGTGCAGCCACAGTTTTGTCAGACAATCTTAACGTTTCAAAGTAGTAAAATCCGCAAATAGTCGGACAGTAAATTTCACAACTGCTACATGACAATCCACTCAAACGGCATAAAAAACTGTAAGACCGCAACACCAGTATTCGAAAAAAAATAAGCGACTATCACGCGTTCAGCGAATCATGGAGTTCCCTCGAAAGATTTAAAATCTTCGCAATTACCCAACGAGTTTTTCCAGGGTCCCTCCTTTAAACACGATTACGTGAAAATCCCAGGAAAGCCCAGACGACGACCTCCTTCGTGGCCATTATTTCAGCTCAGCCCCTATTTCACCCACTCGATTTCCTTGTCTCGCTCGCACCCCTCCACTTGCACGCGCACGGAGAGAAGGAGAAAAAGATTTTCGGGAGCACAGGCGAGATGCGCTCGGATAACCCGATCGCCGGGAGAAAAAGTGCTGATAAAGCCAAAAGCGAGGCCAACCCCCATTCCTCCACTGTTCTGGTACTTTCTTTGACTCGGGAGTACAGATTGATATACCTTTAGCAACAACAACCAAGAATTTTCTCCAATAATTTTTAATTAAATTTCTCTACACCGCCAGCTTATCTTCTTTTCAAAAAAGAAGAAAAGAAAGGGGGGGGGGGATGGTGCACGGTAATTGCCCGATGGATAAGCCGCAAAAAGCAAACAGGAGGTACCAGGATATTGAGCCAAGACCCACCGTTCTGGACAGTATCGGCATTCCAGACGCCAAGGCTCTGCGCACCGGGCACCCAGAAGGTGTACTCGAGGGTGCCAGCTGTCTCCTCCCAGAGGAGATTGATGCGGGGCAAACCGGTCCTCGGGTCCCTGGTTTCGAGAGAGCGTAGCTTCACGATGGGGCAGGCGTCCACTTGGATGCGCGTAGTGCCGAATGTCCCGGTCGTCGGAGTCGGCTGTTGGCGCTCGGTCCTGTGCTCCAGCACCTCGACCACGTACCATTTGCCCATCACCTGCAATCAAAAAAGTAATTTTTTGTTGTTGTTGTCTGTCTGTTCTTTTGTTTTCATTCATGCACATCGTATAGGCATCCATCGCGAGGTCTCGAGCTGGGTGTTATCGAAAGCTCGACCGAGGAGGGGGAAGCTGATGAGAGCTGGCAATCGATTGGGGTTGTGGGTATCGGTATAGCTGTTGGAAGCTCGCTATGGATGGATTTCCAGTCCAATGGAAAGTCAAATAAGACGTCTGAGCTTTCGGTTTAATACCAGAGATGCCCCGGTATAACACGAACAAGTGCATTGAAGAATGGAGAGCATCTCACGTCTATAATTATAGTGATGAAGTGGTGTTTGCGTTGGATGGGAATCTTTGGAATTCCTTGTCGGGCCTGTCAAAAGTTTCTGTACTCATTCATTTTTGTCATGAAAATTTTGGTAAAGCTTTGAATTGGTAGGAAAAAAAACCAACCACAACACTTAAGTATGTAATTAACTTGGAAAGTATGAGTGTGTGTGATATTCCCTCTCCGCTATAATTTTAATACTTTCGAAATTTACAATTTTTTGAAATTTTTCAGAGAACAGTCGCAAACGTAACGGATGATTGAAATTTTAATTTAAAAAACTACAGGTTAAATGAATAATTAAATTTGTATACTTTCAAGAAAAGCAACGATTCGTTGATTTTTTTCATAGCCAATTTTTTCGTAGTAACGAGCTACAAAAATGTAGTTGACTAATAAACATATTTTAATTACAAAGTCATGTCAAAATCCATAAAAAGAGCTTCCAACATGGGTTAGTTAATATTTTTACAACGTTCTGATGAAAAAAAAAAAAAAAGAAAAAAAAAAAAAAGAAAATTTCTCATCGAAATTCGCGTTTGTTTGTTTCATCGCTCGAAACTCATACAGCTTGATTTTTCAACCATTCCTCACAATGCAATAAACAGCAAAATCGAAACTTTTTCTTCTAAAATCCACAGCACCACCGTATAATCGAAACATTGCTTTTCTAAACATGCAAACAAAATACGAGGCAATTAAAAAGGTAAAACACACACGCGCTCAATTTGTCCGTAGTAAATGTAACCCCAAGAGAGCCTCGGATCGTAAGAGCGAATCCTTTGGCTCACTCGGAAAATACACCATTTTCTTATCTCGATAAACAAGCATTTTCAAAAGAGACACGCACACTGAGAGCTTTTCCTTCCTCCCACGTTTGCGCGGTCGTCTTGGAGATCCATTCATCTTACTGTGCAACATACCATACACAGCATCAGATTATCGAGCATTATTTCCTCGCTACGTATATACACGCACGTATGCAGGACACGCCAAAGCTCATGTGGCGATCGTTCATGCAAGTCCCTCCGTGAGCTGGCTCGGGTACACGTAGGCGTGTGAATTTATGTGAGTCGAGCTGGCAATCTCGATAGCAGGGGGATTTACTCGAGAGTCTATTTTTTTTATTTTACGCTTTCGTCGGTTCGATTATGGGAAGAAATGGTTTCGCTGATTAGTTGCGATTAGCGTTTGAGGATGAACAATGAAAGGTTGTCTACGAAGCACACAAGATTAATAATGACTCAACTGGTGAAAGAACAACAAAGGTATTTGCACGTCGAGCCAAAGTTAAGATTATTCGTTGTATAATAAACCTTCATCTTTTGATTTTTCTCCCAAGAATTGACGAACAAACGTATTTGATCAAAGCTCAGAGATAAGTACCCGAAGAGGGACATAAAAAAGGGTTGACTTTTTCAGGAGTTTTTGTTTACCAACAGCCACGTGTGGATTAAAGGAGCGCACTTTGGTTTGCACAGTCGAGAAAAAACAAAGACTCACCTAGAATCGCTCCTCCCACTCTTTAACTCTGCTAACGAAGAACAAATATCAGCCTCGACGCAGCTCTCAATTGCGCCGAGATAAAGGAAACAAAAAATTCACTAGGTCAACCAATTATAACCCCACCCCCTCGGTCCATCTTTTCGTACCCTTTGAAAGAGGCAGGAGACTCACGAAATTATTCCAGACGGAGACTCCCTATGTCTATTTAGACCCTACGAAGGACCGAAACCCTTAATGCGAATAATACGTCTGGTACCGGTGCCCACCTTTCCCAACCTCTATGTCTGCTTGGGGTTGGCAAAAGATCGAGCTTTACGCCATTTATATTGACACTATTATTGAAAATAAAAATTAGTTTCCGTTTCTATTTTAGCAAAAGCCATTAATTCATTTGAAAAACTTTGTCCTTAAGATTCAACAGCGCCATTTTTGTTCCATTTTTTTGTTTTTAATTTACCCCCGACAATGATATTTTTCTTTGAATTTGAATTACATTCTTCTTTGTCCTTTTTTTTATAAGAAACGATTTTACGTATTTGTGTATGTGTGTGCGTGCGTGTTGTTAAAAACTCCTATTGCTTTTCACAGTTGAACCTTTGAGTGACTGGTGTCGATTGCGAGGTGAAAAAAAGCGTGTTTCGCGCGTCACTGCGGAGCGAACATGAAAAAAGTGATTGCACGGTCATTCCAGCAGCTTTGACCTATTACGCCGAGTTTTGCTGTTTATTTGCTCTGCACCTACAGCTATGCTCCAGACTTTGAAGCTCGATTTTTCGGTCTTTGTCTTGCTTAACCTTTGAGCTACGGCGAATTATTACGAAAATTAGGTTCAATCTACCAATTACTTGCAGGCCCAACGTAAATATCCGTTTACGGGACTTGCAAGGGAATATAAGTTGCTTGGTTGCAAAATAATTAGATTTTAGTAAACAGGTATTCTTAATTATTTTGTGCTTAAATTGTTTTCTAAAAACATAATACAATTTTTTTCATCACTGTAACACAGCATTTAACAAAGTTAAATAAAAAAATCAAGCATTTTGTTTTAAAAGAGAAGAAAGTACGAAAGTATATGAATAAATATTCAAACGGTTAAAAAAAAAAAAAAAAAAATCATATTTGTTGATAACTGTATTAAAAGTAACAAGCAATTTCATTTTTATTCACAATTGTTCAACCAACACTCTGTAATGTACAAAAAAAAATGACAATGAAACAAGCTGGTAACATTTTTTTTTTTTTTTTCAGAACAAACACTACGACTCCTCCCACGAAAATAACAAAATCGTCCCCTCCCCCTTCGACACACCTGCACTTCGATTTCATTTTTGCAAAAGGGTGCACACCACGTAAAAGCTGCAAACGTCCCGTGGACACGCGCGCTTCGAGCTCTAATTGTAAGCTCAGCTCAGAAAGTGCAGAGGAAAATCGAGCACGCGTGCGTCACTGCGATTATTATTCCAAGCGCGACTTTCTCGTAGCACGGCCATTATCCTGTGCTCCTTCTCGTGTATAGATAACGCAACTCGGCTGGCGATTTGTAACCTTTTTTTTTTTCCAACTCTTTGCTCTTATCCTAGAGAGGATTTTTTTTTTGCGTGTTATCGTTTTTCGACGGGGCTCACGCGAGGAATATTGATTGCTCGGCTGGATGTCGGGGTTTTCGAGCTGGAAAATAGATTGTGATACCGTATTGTTAACGTTGATGACGAAAGACCGTGGCTTGGGTGCGAATCGGTGTATTAAAAATTTAAATAAGCGATTGAATTTGAGAATAATATTGCCCTTTTGTAAATGAGTTTCATTTTTTATAGGAGTAAAATCATTCTCTGGTTGCATGACATTATACTTTCTCACATAAAATACTCATTCTAGAACTACCTTTTATTAAACACATTAAACAATGATTTATGAGTAATTTAACTATTTGCTTTAGCAAAACTATATCACTCTGGTGGCGCAGTCGTACTTTAAAAAGATTTTACGCGTTAATTATCCTTTTTTTTCACCTGGCAGAAAAAAAGAGTTTCAACTTTTATTTAAAACAGAAAACTTTTTAATCGGTATAGTTACATGCCAGAAAAGTCTTATCGTAATGGCGAGAAAAAAAATTTTCAATTAAAAGTACAGTACTCATCAAAAGAGTTTCTTTAGAATTGCAGTACAACACCGTGAGAGCGTTGAATTCGAGTATCAATACGTAACGCTTATTGAAAACTAACGCAAAGGATCGACGTATCTAGTGGAAATGAAAGTCTGGAAGTCGCGAAAAGTGAGAGAAGAAAAATAGAGCTGTATGGAAGTGAACTCAATCAGGTATTAAGGAGTACCTATAATAATACGTTTTTAACCCATTGAAAGAAAAAAAATCAGTAGAAAGATCCTTGTTTAGTCAGCCAAGAACGAACCGTGTTTTGCATGTAATAAGTAGTAAAGTCCGCGTTCGGCCAGACATGTATGACAACCACACGTAAACTTTTCAAGCATTACATAGTCAATAATAAATTGGAAAAAAGACTTAAGCATTTTTTAAGTAGTGCAGCCACAGTTTTGTCAGACAATGTCGATCTTAACGTGTCAAAGTAGTAAAATCCGCAAATAGTCGGACAATGAATTTCACAACTGCTACATGACAATCCACTCAAACGGCATTAAAAACTGTAAGACCACAACACCAGCACTAAAAAAAAAAAAACTATGTGACAATCGATCTTTGCGTTATTACGTGATATCACCGTCCATTCGAGCAATCAAAGCCCACAGGCAGCCTGCGCTCGTGTACCTCCCTCACAGCTCACATAGTTACGTCCACCACCGTGAAATCCAAAGTACACCATAGGGGGACAGAAGCGTCGATCAAATCACCCCCCCCCCCCCCCGTGGAGAAGACTAGTTAGCTCTGTAACATCGACAAAGTCCGAATTGTCCGAAACAAATCGATGCGAATTCCAGCGTCACTCGCTTAATTAAATTCCTACTTCTCAGCTCGCGCATATGTGTGTACACAATTCCTGGGTTCTGTGTCCTTTCGAGGCACGATTTTCCTTTGAAATTTGCACGAGTGTGACGGCATTGTTATCATTTTTTTGCAGTACGCAACAATGTTTTTCTTATTCGGGGATTTTGTGAAATCCTACGCTTGGAAGGTTCTGCGTTTCTTGAGGTGTGAAATTTTTTTTTCACGGG